CATCTAACGAGGCGTCGACAGCCTTCCGTAACACAGGACCCTACGGTTTGGGTTTTATTAACCTTCAGGTATCCACTTGAAAGGCAATATTATTGGCACCAATCATGATTATGGGGCCTCCTCTTCAGCCTCTGGTCTTGACTGACAAACATCCTGGTGGTGCGTGTTGGATAGTGAAGTCTTAATGTTGCAACCGGATTGCCCAGCGCTCCAGCTTTCCGCGAGAATCTCTGGTCGTCTTGATCCACCCCACGAGCTTGTGATCGTTTTCGACATGAGATGTTCTTCGAAGCATGTATTACCCCAACTTATCCATGGCCCGCAAAATCGCTTAACATACTTTCTCAATCGTCGAATACTTCTACTCCGCGTTAGTCGGGAAACGACGGGCTTATTCGGTAACTCCATTCCTCTGCTTTACGTCTGCACCGATACCGAAATCACTAGCGTTCCTTGCAACAGCGAACATATGTTCGACACTGGTCGGTTTGTTGGTCAGTTGCTGATCCAGTATCTGCTCATTGACAAGTTTAAAATCCACATGTGCTTTGCTGATCCAGTCGCATTTCCGATTTCATCCGGCCTTACCTTACAGTGGAGCAGCAATCGTGTTGGAATCCTTGAGAAACCGGCTGATGCATACTGCTCATCCAGGAATCTGCCATAGAATTAGAACTTTTTCGATTCCTTCTAGCACTCCCGATATTCCACAGTGTTGGGCTTGCGTTCCAAATGCTGGCAATTATCTGTCAAGACAGAAGACCGAATGAATACGGCGCTCACGGTTGAAATGTCCTACGATTATTTAACCGGATGCCATTTGGTTTTTCTGGTGCACCATCCACATTATCTCAGGCCCGGATGATCAATGGCAATATTTTTCCCACTTCAGATCAACTGCGGATTACGCGCTCTTGACAGCATGTACTCCCAAGTTTGTCTGCTATATGCCTGGCTGATCAGGGGCTCAGGATGCACGGACCTGAGCACACTGAGGCAAGGAGGCGTACAAAGTGATATATTTAGATTCTTTAATCGATAGCTCCTACAATGCACCAAGGAAAAAATTTCGCAGCACTTCTAGTCGATGAACTTCGTTGCAGCCAGAAGAACTAAGTTAAATATGTTGACCCGCTCCCATTCTTAATCGGTTCGTGATTTCGTATTGCACCTGCAGACACAGGGAGCCTAATGTGGCTGCGCTGCCCAATTGGCAGGCCAACTGGGAAATAGGCTCATTGCCGCTGTTCAAATGTACGGATTACAGCAGATGCCGAATCTTTGTCCTGATAAAAATTTCAATCTATTTGGAAAATATGTGAGCTGTATGAGGATGTGAAGCATGTAACGAAGACTGATGAAACAGTGTTGAATTGCTCTGAACATAATAAATCTAGGATGCAAATAACAACAAATTCAACAAATTTCTGGGCCCCAAATCCATCACTTTGTCACTTCACAAATTGTAAATATAATTCCGTGGTCCAAAAATTTGGGAAGTGTGAATCTTGTGGCCGAAAACATTCCAGATATTCATACCCCCACAGGCAAGGGAAGTGTTTTTCTGTAATCGGTAAATCGGTACGCGTCTGATCCAAATACTGACTTGAAAGCATCTATTTCGTCCCGCAATTCGTCACATGTTCTTAAAACTGCTTCATGTCAAATTTATAATTCCATTGTTTATACTGGTGGTGTTGAGTTTTTTATTCTACAGTTAGATCTAACTGCATTGTACCCCAGTGTCATGATAGTGCCTACAGATGTTTACTTTCGCGGTATTACTGGACATTTTGTATCCTTAGTTGGTAGTTGCACTATCCGTGTGAGATTGTTTCAAGGAAAATCTATCGATTGTAATTTGTTTTAGTATCAACCTTGGGACTACTGGTTATCGGATTCAATGTTTCGCGCTCACTGCCAACCAGTGAAAGGAAGAAGGCCTTCGCTGCGGTGTGATTTATTCGAAATGCCAACTGACCGGTTACAGACCACTGAACAGGGAAGCAAAACTCCAATCTAGATCTCGGTTACAAAAACTGGACACAGATCTTCTCCCGAACGAGTCTTCCTGGAGATTCATTGACTCCAGTCATTCGCCGGTCAAATCCAAGCGAACGTTACAAAGTGGCCCCGCGAATTCCGCAACAGAATTCCCTTTTTCAATCGACGCAACTGGAAATTCTACGAATAACATATACTACTCGCGTGCCTTCCGATCAGTAGTATCAGCGCTTCACACTTCCACCCCTTAAAGCTCGTTCGCATGCCATCGATTTTAATTTACCTCCGTCAGGTCAGCTTTGGCAGTGGGTCTACTCGGCCGCTCTTCGGGTTTATCATGCCACTTGCGAAGCTGCGTCCCATTCACTAACTACCATCCCCGTCCATCTTGAATGGTGAAGACGTTCCCCCGGCGGTCGGTGACGACAAACGGCCCTTGCAATCAACTGCTCAGCGTCCGCGACCCCAGTCCGCTCCTTCCAGGTTTCTAGTAATCCCTCCACTTGACCTTTGTGCCTTTGAGGGACGCTTGGACCTTTCTGCTTGCAGTTTTCTGCCTAGTCCTTCCCTGATCGGCGGTCAAATTTTCTCGAGCTCTCTCTCCTTCTTCCTCTAGCTGCTCCGGTGACAAGCTTGTCGCCGGCCACAACCGAACTTCCTGATCAACAGGAAGGCGCGGATGTCGAGCGTACATTAACATAGATGAGGACTTGCCCGTGTTTGACTGCGTCGAAGCGCGACGAGCTAACAACGCCATTGGCAAGTTCATCTCTCGTTCACCTCCTTTGGCCGCAAGCCACTACTTGATCGCTCGGTTATTACATTCAATCAGGCTATTTGTTTTCGAGTGGAATGGTGCCGTCCTTAGCCGTCTGACACCCAGCGATTGCGATCAATGACGAAACTATTCGCTCTCGAAGCAAGGCCCCTGATCGGTTAGAATAATTTTTGGCACACCATGGTTGGTCACGATGTGGTGCATTACCACTCCGCTGATTGCCGTCACCCGCTGATTCGGCACGGCGGCCACCTCAATCCATCGCGGCAGGTGTTCTGTCATCATCATGATGTATAGATTCCCACTGATTGTCACCTGAAAGGGCTCATGACGTCAACTAACCACAACTCGCTGATTTCTGAGACAACAATGGGTTCCACGGGATAGGTTGCCCCTGTCGTATCCGCTTTCATTAGTTGACAACGCTTGCACGACACCTCATAATCCATAACCTCACTTCTCATCCCGGGCTAGTAGGCTCTCTGCCGAAGTAGGTCTTATGTCCTGGTGCACCCTTATGTGCCATCTCATGGCATTCAACGATGAGGTTCCGTCTAAAGACGCGAGGTGTCACGGGCACCACAACATCTGAATCAGTGGCGTTCCAGGAAATTATGCCAGCTTCATTCAGCCTCAGCCGATCAAAGTGACTATGGTACCCTTCTAATTCCTTGTCTCCCTCTCCGGTCTCAATGTTCCTCCCATCCAACATGGCGGCTGCAACCTTTTGTCACACCGAATCCGGTGGTTGAATTTGCACCAACTTTCCAGGATCCATTTTGACGACGAGGCCTTCTCCATCTTGGGCACGTGCTGCACTCTAAAGTCGTACTGGTGCAACCGGAGTGCCCATCTTGCGAGCTTCCCGCGAGAACTCTGGTGACCCTGATCCACTCCAGGGGTTTGTGATCGGTTTCGACATGAAACCTTTGACCAAGCAGATATTGTCTCCACTTATCCAGGGCCCAGACAATCGCAAAACATTCCTTCTCAATGGTGGATTATTTCTGTTCAGCGTTAGTCAGGACGCG